AATGGGAGGCCGTACAGGGACCCATGAGAGACTCTGGACCTGGCAGCAGCATGAGGAGGCGGTATATAGGGGCCATGGCAGATTAGGGGGCCTGGCAGCAGCTATGGGAGGCCCGTAATCTGCCAGCACCCTATGTCAAAAAATTGAACACACCAGCAGTGTGTGAGGAGACCTGAAAGTGGCACATGGCAGAGTGTGGCGATGGAGACAGCAGCAATGGGAGGCCGTACAGGGACCCATGAGAGACTCTGGACCTGGCAGCAGCATGAGGAGGCGGTATATAGGGGCCCATGGCAGATTAGGGGCCTGGCAGCAGCTATGGGAGGCCCGTAATCTGCCAGCACCCTATGTCAAAAAATTGAACACACCAGCAGTGTGAGGAGACCTGAAAGTGGCACACACATGGCAGAGTGTGGCGATGGAGACAGCAGCAATGGGAGGCCGTACAGGGACCCATGAGAGACTCTGGACCTGGCTGGCAGCAGATGAGGGCGGTATATAGGGGCCCATGGCAGATTAGGGGCCTGGCAGCAGCTATGGGAGGCCCGTAATCTGCCAGCACCCTATGTCAAAAAATTTCAACACACCAGCAGTGTGAGGAGACCTGAAAGTGGCACATGGCAGAGTGTGGCGATGGGAGACAGCAGCAATGGGAGGCCGTACAGGGACCCATGAGAGACTCTGGACCTGGCAGCAGCATGAGGAGGCGGTATATAGGGGCCCATGGCAGATTAGGGGCCTGGCAGCAGCTATGGGAGGCCCGTAAATCTGCCAGCACCCTATGTCAAAAAATTGAACACACCAGCAGTGTGAGGAGACCTGAAAGTGGCACATGGCAGTGGTGGCGATGGAGACAGCAGCAATGGGAGGCCGTACAGGGACCCATGAGAGACTCTGGACTGGCAGCATGGCAGCATGAGGAGGCGGTATATAGGGGCCCATGGCAGATTAGGGGCCTGGCAGCAGCTATGGGAGGCCCGTAATCTGCCAGCACCCTATGTCAAAAAATGTCAACACACCAGCAGTGTGTGAGGGAGACCTGAAAGTGGCACATGTTTGGGGCATGATTCATGGCGGATTTAGTCAGTTGTGTCAGGACTGGTGGTTTGAAATCCAGACTAATCCACGCCTGATTCATTTTCACAAACGTGAGTCTCTCCACACTTTGGGTGGACAGTCGTGTCCTCCGCGGAGTTACAATACCTCCTGCCGCACTAAACACGCGCTCCGATGCCACGCTATGGCCGGGCGGGCATGACAGCCTTTCAAGGGCAAATTCAGCTAGTTGGGGCCAAAGGTCAAGTTTCGTTGCCCAGTAGTCAAGGGGATTGTCTACCTCGGTTGGCAGGGTGCTGTCCAAGTAGGCCTAAGCTGTTGTTTGAGGTCCTGCTCAGGTCCACCTGATGCTGACTGCTGCTGCTGCTGCTGCATGGGGCTGGTTAGTAGTTTCCTCACTGCGCTGGTGAAGAAAGCTACTCATCATCGACTGGCAGCAGACTGAGGCAGCCGCTGCTGGTGGAGCTGCCACTGCTCCTACCCACCACCCCACCTCCCCTGCTGCCATGGCAGCGGGAACGCGAGTGGCACAGGGGGCCCACAGTGTCTGAGGATGGACGTTGGCGCAGAAAGGCAGAGACCAGCTGACTACATAGGTGGTTTTTTATAGTACGTTATTTTGGCCTCCCTCTCAGCAGGTGTGAAAAAGGCCACCATTTTTGAACGGTAGCGAGGGCCTCCAGCAAGGTGGACAGCCAAAAGTCATCCCTCTGTCTGATGGTTATTATTCGGCTGTCGCTACGCAAGAGCAAGCGAGCATGGCTATGGGCCATTTGTGCCAAGGAATGCGAGAGGGACTCCCTGCCTCCATCTCCACAGCATACTGCCACGGTGCGTCTGGGTCCTCTGTCTCCTCCTGGCTCCTGGCTACCAGATGCTCCTGCTCCTCCACTCCTGTCCGCTGAGTGGAAAAACCACCCATTTCACTCAATAATTCCTGAGCACAAATGTCCTCCTCTACCTCCTCCTCTTCTTCCTGTCCTGCCCCACACAGGGGTCATGTGGCGTTGAGATCTGTGCGCCACGTCTACCGCACCCTGACCAGCAGCATTGTTAACAGCATTTGTTCCAGGACGTGCAACAGAGGAATGATGTCGTTCATCCCATAGTCCTGCCGACTGACGAATAGCGTGGCCTCCTCAATAAGGGCCTGAGCAAGCGGCAGGTGTCAGCATGAGCTGCCAATGGCTGACATCGAAGTTACACTGGACATGTACCTTTATCCGCTTGTAGCATCAGGAAATCGGTGATGGCCTTTCGCTGTTCGTAAAGGCGGTCTACCATGTGTAGGGTTGAATTCCACCTTGTTGCAACGTCGCAGATCAGGCGATGCAAAAAATTCCGTTCTGCCGCTGCAGCTCAAGGAGGGTGTGCTTTGCGGTGGCGATGGGAATGGCTGAAATGCAGGATGCAAAGTTTACGTGACATTTTAAAGGATGTCTTGCAGTGGGATGGTGGATTTTAGGAACCGCTTGACAACCAGATTGAACTTGGCAGCAGCCATGCATGGCGCATGGCACAACCTTACTTGACGCAGAGCAGACACCATGTTCAGCCGTTGTCGGGAACCATGGTTCACATTTTCAGTGTGCGATGGAGACAGCATCTGCGATTCTCTGTTCATTACACTGGAAGTTCCCCCTGTGTGACTACGTTCGCCTGGACCTGGCAGCAGCATGAGGAGGCGGTATATAGGGGCCCATGGCAGATTAGGGGGCCTGGCAGCAGCTATGGGAGGCCCGTAATCTGCCAGCACCCTATGTCAAAAAATTCAACACACCAGCAGTGTGAGGAGACCTGAAAGTGGCACATGGCAGAGTGTGGCGATGGAGACAGCAGCAATGGGAGGCCGTACAGGGACCCATGAGAGACTCTGGACCTGGCAGCAGCATGAGGAGGCGGTATATAGGGGCCCATGGCAGATTAGGGGCCTGGCAGCAGCTATGGGAGGCCCGTAATCTGCCAGCACCCTATGTCAAAAAAAATTCAACACACCAGCAGTGTGTGAGGAGACCTGAAAGTGGCACATGGCAGAGTGTGGCGATGGAGACAGCAGCAATGGGAGGCCGTACAGGGACCCATGAGAGACTCTGGACCTGGCAGCAGCATGAGGAGGCGGGTGGTATAGGGGCCCATGGCAGATTAGGGGCCTGGCAGCAGCTATGGGAGGCCCGTAATCTGCCAGCACCCTATGTCAAAAAATTCAACACACCAGCAGTGTGTGAGGAGACCTGAAAGTGGCACATGGCAGAGTGTGGCGATGGAGACAGCAGCAATGGGAGGCCGTACAGGGACCCATGACAGACTCTGGACCTGGCAGCAGCATGAGGAGGCGGTATATAGGGGCCCATGGCAGATTAGGGGCCTGGCAGCAGCTATGGGAGGCCCGTAATCTGCCAGCACCCTATGTCAAAAAATTCAACACACCAGCAGTGTGTGAGGAGACCTGAAAGTGGCACATGGCAGAGTGTGGCGATGGGACAGCAGCAATGGGAGGCCGTACAGGGACCCATGACAGACTCTGGACCTGGCAGCAGCATGAGGAGGCGGTATATAGGGGCCCATGGCAGATTAGGGGCCTGGCAGCAGCTATGGGAGGCCCGTAATCTGCCAGCACCCTATGTCAAAAAATTCAACACACCAGCAGTGTGTGAGGAGACCTGAAAGTGGCACATGGCAGAGTGTGGCGATGGAGACAGCAGCAATGGGAGGCCGTACAGGGACCATGACAGACTCTGGACCTGGCAGCAGCATGAGGAGGCGGTATATAGGGGCCCATGGCAGATTAGGGGCCTGGCAGCAGCTATGGGAGGCCCGTAATCTGCCAGCACCCTATGTCAAAAAATTCAACACACCAGCAGTGTGTGAGGAGACCTGAAAGTGGCACATGGCAGAGTGTGGCGATGGAGACAGCAGCAATGGGAGGCCGTACAGGGACCCATGACAGACTCTGGACCTGGCAGCAGCATGAGGAGGCGGTATATAGGGGCCCATGGCAGATTAGGGGCCTGGCAGCAGCTATGGGAGGCCCGTAATCTGCCAGCACCCTATGTCAAAAAATTCAACACACCAGCAGTGTGTGAGGAGACCTGAAAGTGGCACATGGCAGAGTGTGGCGATGGAGACAGCAGCAATGGGAGGCCGTACAGGGACCCATGACAGACTCTGGACTGGCAGCAGCATGAGGAGGCGGTATATATAGGGGCCCATGGCAGATTAGGGGCCTGGCAGCAGCTATGGGAGGCCCGTAATCTGCCAGCACCCTATGTCAAAAAATTCAACACACCAGCAGTGTGTGAGGAGACCTGAAAGTGGCACATGGCAGAGTGTGGCGATGGAGACAGCAGCAATGGGAGGCCGTACAGGGACCCATGACAGACTCTGGACCTGGCAGCAGCATGAGGGAGGCGGTATATAGGGGCCCATGGCAGATTAGGGGCCTGGCAGCAGCTATGGGAGGCCCGTAATCTGCCAGCACCCTATGTCAAAAAATTCAACACACCAGCAGTGTGTGAGGAGACCTGAAAGTGGCACATGGCAGAGTGTGGCGATGGAGACAGCAGCAATGGGAGGCCGTACAGGGACCCATGACAGACTCTGGACCTGGCAGCAGCATGAGGAGGCGGTATATAGGGGCCCATGGCAGATTAGGGGCCTGGCAGCAGCTATGGGAGGCCCGTAATCTGCCAGCACCCTATGTCAAAAAATTCAACACACCAGCAGTGTGTGAGGAGACCTGAAAGTGGCACATGGCAGAGTGTGGCGATGGAGACAGCAGCAATGGGAGGCCGTACAGGGACCCATGACAGACTCTGGACCTGGCAGCAGCATGAGGAGGAGGCGGTATATAGGGGCCCATGGCAGATTAGGGGCCTGGCAGCAGCTATGGGAGGCCCGTAATCTGCCAGCACCCTATGTCAAAAAATTCAACACACCAGCAGTGTGTGAGGAGACCTGAAAGTGGCACATGGCAGAGTGTGGCGATGGAGACAGCAGCAATGGGAGGCCGTACAGGGACCCATGACAGACTCTGGACCTGGCAGCAGCATGAGGAGGCGGTATATAGGGGCCCATGGCAGATTAGGGGCCTGGCAGCAGCTATGGGAGGCCCGTAATCTGCCAGCACCCTATGTCAAAAAATTCAACACACCAGCAGTGTGTGAGGAGACCTGAAAGTGGCACATGGCAGAGTGTGGCGATGGAGACAACCCACCGACTGTTTTGCTCGCTGCCAAGCTGCCACCCTCTTCTCCTGATGATGCGGAAGCAATAGCCTGATGACGACGAGGCTGCCAAGTGCGATCAGCCTCATCATCATCAATTAGGGTCTCCGCCTCACTACTAGCCCCCTCGGCTGCGTGTGGGGTCAGGAGACAGACCTGTCTCTAGACCGGCTACCGAGCCACTCTCCTCGCCACTACTTCTTCTTCGCCTGGCTGCTGAAGAGGCGGATGTCTCCCCCCGTTCCTGACCGCCCTCTGTTAGCTCTTCCTCACTGTACTGGATGACACCGGGAGCACTAGCCTCTGGCTGCGAATAGTGCTGCCTCGACCCCTTCCTCTGCTGCCACGTCTGCTCGCTCCTAAAACATTGCCTCCTCTGCCACTCCTCTGCATGTTGTCTGACATACTCTTTAATTAAACGATTCTGTGTCCCTGAGTAACAATTCTGTGTCCCTGAGTAACGTTTCTGTGGCCCTAAGTAACAGTTTCTGTGGCCCTCAGTAACAATTCTGTGTGTAACCAGAGTCTGTCTGAGTAACAATTCTGTGTCTAGTAACCCTGAGTAACAATTCTGTGTGTCCCTCAGTAACAATTCTGTGTCCCTCAGTAAAAATTCTGTGTCCCTCAGTAACATTTTTCTGTGCCTGTGAGTAGTCTGTGTCTGTGTCCATTAACAATTCTGTGGCCCTAAGTAACAGTTCTGTGGCCCTCAGTAACAACAATTTCTGTGTCTGTGCGAGTAGTAACAATTCTGTGTCTGTGCTGAGTAACAATTCTGTGGCCCTAAGTAACAGTTCTGTGGCCCTCAGTAACAATTCTGTGTGTGCTGAGTAACAATTCTGTGTCTGTCCCTGAGTAGTAACAATTCTGTGGCCCTAAGTAACAGTTCTGTGGCCCTCAGTAACAGTTCTGTGTCCCTGAGTAACAATTCTGTGTCTGTGCGAGTAACAATTCTGTGGCCCTAAGTAACAGTTCTGTGGCCCCAGTAACAATTCTGTGTCCCGCAGACCTATTAACGTTTCTGTGGCCCCAAGTAAGTAACGGTTTCTGTGTGCCCCTAAGTAACAAGTTCTGTGGCCCCAGTAACAATTCTGTGTCCCTGAGTAACGTTTCTGTGGCCCTAAGTAACGGTTCTGTGGCCCTCAGTAACAATTCTCTCTCTGTCTGAGTGAGTAACAATTCTGTGTCTGTGCGAGTAACAATTTGTGGCCCTAGTAACTGGTTCTGTGGCCCTCAGTAACAATTCTGTGTCTGTGCGAAGAGTAACAATTCTGTGTCTGTGCGAGTAACCAATTTCTGTGGCCCCTAAAGTAACGGTTCTGTGTGCCCTCAGTAACAATTCTGTGGAGTAACAATTCTGTCCCTAACAATTCTGTGGCCCTAAGTAACAGTTCTGTGTCTGAGTAACAGTTCTGTGTCCCTGAGTAACAATTCTGTGTCCCTCAGTAACAATTCTGTGTCCCTCCCTGAGTAACAATTCTGTGTGTCCCTGAGTAACAATTCTGTGTCTGTGCGTAGTAAACAATTCTGTGGCCCTAAGTAACAGTTCTGTGGCCCTCAGTAAACAATTCTGTGTCTGTCCCTGAAGTAACAATTCTGTGTCTGTCCCTGAGTAACAATTCTGTGGCCCTAAGTAACAGTTTCTGTGTGTCCCCTCAGTAACATTCTGTGTCCCTGCGAGTAACAATTCTGTGTCCCTGAGTAACAATTCTGTGGCCCTAAGTAACAGTTCTGTGGCCCTCTAAGTAACAGTTCTGTGGCCCTCAGTAACAATTCTGTGTCCCTGAGTAACAATTCTGTGTCTGTCCCTGAGTAACAATTCTGTGTCCCTCAGTAACAGTTCTGTGTCCCTCAGTAACAACTGTGTCTGTGTGTGGCCCTCAGTAACAATTCTGTGTGTCTGTGCGAGTGAGTAACAATTCTGTGGCCCTAAGTAACAGTTCTGTGCCCTCAGTAACAATTCTGTGTCTCCTGCGAGTAACAATTCTGTGTGTCCCTGAGTAACAATTCTGTGGCCCTAAGTAACAGTTCTGTGGCCCTCAGTAACAATTCTGTGTCCCTGTAACAATTCTGTCTGGCCCGAGTAACAATTCTGTGCCCTGTAACAATTAGTCTGTCCCTGAGTAACAATTCTGTGGCCCTAAGTAACAGTTTCTGTGGCCCTCAGTAACAGTTCTGTGTCCCTGAGTAACAATTCTGTGTCTGTGCCCTGAGTAACAATTCTGTGGCCCTAAGTAACAGTTCTGTGGCCCTCAGTAACAGTTCTGTGTCCCTGAGTAACAATTCTGTGGCCCTAAGAGTAACAATTCTGTGGCCCTAAGTAACAAATTCTGTGTGTACAATTCCCTCAGTAACAATTCTGTGTCTGGCCCTAAGTAACAATTCTGTGGCCCTAAGTAACGGTTCTGTGGCCCTCAGTAACAATTCTGTGTCCCTGAGTAACGTTTCTGTGTGTGCCCGAGTAACAATTCTGTGGCCCTAAGTAACTGGTTCTGTGGCCCTCAGTAACAATTCTGTGTCCCTGAGTAACAATTCTGTGTCTGTGCGAGTAACAATTCTGTGGCCCTAAGTAACAGTTCTGTGGCCCTCAGTAACAATTCTGTGTCTGTGCCTGAGTAACAATTCTGTGTCTGTGCGAGTAACAATTCTGTGGCCCTAAGTAACAGTTCTGTGGCCCTCAGTAACAATTCTGTGTCCCTGAGTAACAATTCTGTGTCTGAGTGCGTAGAGTAACAATTCTGTGGCCCTAAGTAACAGTTCTGTGGCCCTCAGTAACAATTCTGTGTCCCGAGTGGCCCTAAGTAACAATTCTGTGTCTGTGCGAGTAACAATTCTGTGGCCCTAAGTAACAGTTCTGTGGCCCTCAGTAACAATTCTGTGTCCTGAGTAACAATTCTGTGTCTGTGCGAGTAACAATTCTGTGGCCCTAAGTAACAGTTCTGTGTCCCTGTGTAACAATTCTGTGTCTGTGCGAAGTAACAATTCTGTGGCCCTAAGTAACAGTTCTGTGGCCCTGAGTAACAATTCTGTGTCTGTGCGAGTAACAATTCTGTGTCTGTGCGAGTAACAATTCTGTGGCCCTAAGTAACAGTTCTGTGGCCCTCAGTAACAATTCTGTGTCTGCCTGAGTAACAATTCTGTGGCCCCTAAGTAAACAATTTGTCTAAGTGGCCCTAAGTAACAATTCTGTGGCCCTCAGTAACAATTCTGTGTCTGTCCCTGAGTAACAATTCTGTGGCCCCTAACTAAGTTCTGTGGCCCTAAGTAACAATTCTCTGGCACTCAGTAACAATTCTGTCTGTCCCTGAGTAACAATTCTGTGGCCTCTGGCAACTCAGTAACGTTTCTGTGGCCCTAAGTAACAATTCTCTGGCACTCAGTAACAATTCTGTCTGTCCCTGAGTAACAATTCTGTGGCCCTAATAACGTTTTCTGTGGCCCTAAGTAACAATTCTCTGGCACTCAGTAACAATTCTGTCTGTCCCTGAGTATGAATTCTGTGGCCCTAACTAGCGTTTCTTTGTCCCTAAGTAACGATTCTTTGGCCCTAATTAACAATTCTGTGTCCCTGAGTAATAGTTCTCTGTCCCTAAGTATCGTTTCTCTGTCCCCAAGTATCGTTTCTGTGGCCCTAACTCTGTCCCTGTCCCTAATACAGAGCGGTCTGCCTCTGTTCAATGACTGCAGGCAAATGAAGAATTCCAAAATGGCCGCTATTTATAGCTCGACCATTACACAGTGCTGGCTGGCTGGCTGCTGATTGGCTGATGCAATCACATGTCATTGAGGAATGCATTATGGGTCAGCGCGCGCCTTGTCTGCGTGCCTTCCCAGACATCCCCGCTCCGTCGCCGCACATGTCCGCCGCCATTTTCGGAAAAATTTCGATTCGCGCGTCCGAAGTAGGCTATTTTTCGGATTCGGCGCGAATCGAAATTTTTCCGATATTCGACTCGAATTCCACTTCGGCTACTTCGATTCGCTCATCTCTAATTAACACTTCTATTTCTGAAAATATTCTTAATTTACAGCAGTTTTTTCACACCTGCCTAAGATTTTTGCACAGTACTGTATGTTCCATTAAAAGAAATAAACAGCACATAGCATAATATCATAATATGATCCAGATTTATTAAGCAAGGTAATATACTCACAAAACCACAGTGAACACAGACAACATCGCATCCCCTCCTACAACACACATGTGCAAGGATGTGCAAGGGAAAAGAGGAACACGGTGCAGAACATTAGCACAGAGAACATCAGAGTTCAGTTATGCAGTTTATCTATAATGTAGCACATACTCAAACAAAAGACAGGACTATAGAAAATACACATACAAAAAAAAACTTAGAAGACAAACAGTTGTAAAGAAAAGAGAAATGGTTCAAGGTTCAAAGGTTCAAATGGCTATTATATATATTTTAAATCCATGCTGAAAAGCTATTTCTGCACTAATCATTTTCTAAAAATAATGTATGTTAAAGAGCTTTTTCTCTGGATAAATATGATAGAGTTGCAAGACATGATCCAAAACAAGGCACTTAAAATGACTGTGGTATAACAGTGGATGATATTTGCTATGACAAAGCTGACTTTCTATCCTGTATTCCAATTTAAAAACTCAAATGGCATTTTGCTTCGTTATTTTACTTACAATGGCAGATAACATAGACCAATAAGTTGCATAAAATGGTTACATGCATATAACTTCTGCAAAGGGGTGGGCACATTCATACAGTATATATATATATATATAGCTACATACATTGTATCTCTGTCTATCAATACAGTGCATATATAATGAATATATGTAGTGGGGCCATTGCTGTTTCCCTTTTAAAGAACTGTTTCCCTTTTAAGACTGTATGTTGTCAGAAAGGGTTTGATTGGCTCAGCTCTCAGCAGTACTGGAGTGTTTGTGGGAGTTGCAGTTTCATTACAGAGGCAGACAATGTTACTTTGTACTGCACAGGACTACAGGACCAGGATCCTTGGCAAGGAGGAAGGGGGAGGAGAGCCACGTGTGCCTTTGTAGAGGACATGTGGGA